ACAGAGGGGGGGGGGGGGGGGGAAATCTTCCTTTGAATGAATGGGACAGTATCTAAAAAACAGAATATATGCTCTGCTTAGATTCTATAAATACTGTGAACAGCTCATAATGGTTCATCAGGTTCATCCAGTTTACCTGAATGGGACAGCAATGTTCTTTTCTTATATTACTGTATGTTTGCTGTTTTATTTTATGCATTAGTTATTGTACATCTGGCTGGCACTCTCCTAGAGACAAATCAGTGTTGTCTTCAGAGATTCATGTGATGATCACCTCTCAAAAATCTCATCAACTGCTGGTGTATCAATACACACCGTGTAAGACAGCATACAGTCTAACTACAAGTATTTCTACATAGAACCGAACTGCCAGTTCTACATGTGCCAAACACCAAAATGCCAGAAGTGCCAAAGCAATTCAGCTAATTATGGAAGTCAGTTTCAATTACAAAATGATTGCTAAGATAATTGTGGCATAAATACAGCGACTTAATTTTTACTACATGCATTGAAAATTGTTTCATCTACCAACAGCTCTGGTTTTTCTAACTTGCATGTGACTGCAGTGTGAAAAAAATACGTTTGTGGCAAAGCAAATACAGTAATTGTACATTTTCAGCAGCAACGTACAGAAGAAATGAATTTTCTCTAAATAATGCTTTAACACTTGCATGAAAGAGCATAGCTATATTCAAAATGCAGTGTTCAGTTTGTGCCACGTTTTTTCATTTGTCAGACATTGATTCTTCCCCATGTTGTGAAACAATCTGTATCTAATTTAACCTATGTTATTTAAGTCTTCTATACTTCCCAAAACATTATGGCAAAGCATATTTCAATACGATTGACGATAAGAGTTTCAGAAATGGTATACTGTTGCAAAAGTACAAGCTGGTGTAATGTATTTTGCTGTAACAGATTTTCACTTAACATTCAACCTTCTGGGCCTTCCACACACCCTACATGACACTTAAAAAAAAAAAATCTGAGTGTCTTCTCCCCTGTTGTTATCTGTCCAGCTTTGACCTACCCCTATAGCAGACAGAGGGGTGCTCTGTAGTTTAGCCATAGAGAATTCCTTTAGGCCTAGAGGATCCTTGTGCACTGATGCAAGTCAATGAAGCGTAGCGAGGTTTTAGCTTCCAAATGACTGCAGTCCTCTTATAATGGCATAAAATGCACTTGTCACTGCTAATATCATACTAAAAAAAACCCCAACAACAAAAACCTATCCTTCTCTCCTTCATGGTCAAAAATAAAACATTCAAAACATGTCCTAGAATGCAACAGATTTCACCAATTTTTCCACTTTTTTCCAATTTGCATAAGTATAAAATACCAGAGGTCAGCATTACATACTGACATACTCACTTTACACATTTCTCAACTTTGCAAAGAGAGTAAGATCTGCACTGTTAACCAAGAATCCTTCTTTGTACTTTTATTTATCAGACTAAGTCAGTATTTCATCAATATGTAAGTGTTTTGCAGCAAACATCCAGAAAAACCTCTCAGCTCAAACAGGTCTGACAAATGATGCAGGACTTTGTCAAAGTTCAGCCCCCTGTAACACCATAATGTACCTGGAGAGTCACTAGCACTTTTAAAATTGCACCACTTAGCAAATAACACAACCCACTGCAAAATAAGATGCACACTAAATATTTAGAGGCACACACATTTAGCCATGCAATGAGAAACAATGAACAGTCAACTAAAACCCTCTGTTGGCCTTCAGAATTACGGAGTTAAGATTGAGAGCCATAAAACATCATTTATATGCAAGTCATCTGACTTCCTATTTACTTACCTCATTCATGTGAGCTTAACTGGACGCACGGTCTTAAATACAACATCTTCAGCTGAAAAGGTTCCCACCTCCAGCATGTGTTGCTGAACCCCAGTTCTTCCCTCCTGCTCCCTAATGTGCCAATATGGCCATTTGTGGAATCTTGCAATAAACTAGTTGTGATCTAGGCTGAAACACCCGCCTTGCACCAATGAAGAGGCTGGGGGTTTCTGAGTGTTTGTTTTGAAACAGAACAGTAACAGGTTGGTTTGCACAACTGGGAACAGGGAACAAACTGCAACAGTATATAGGGACACGAAAGGGGAAAAGGCATAAATTTTACAAGCAGATGAAAGCAGGTGCAACTGCACCATCATTTAAGCCAGCATTCATTTGGCATAAAGTAGTGCAGAAGCAGACCCACCAGAGCTTTCTCGGCAAACATCAAGTCTATGAAAAAGCTCTATTCTACTTGATACACTTAGGTATCCCAGCTGACATTCAGAGATTCTAAAGAATTTCACTTTC